ATCTGCTTTAGCCTACCATTAAAAAATTTTTTTTTTCAACGTTTTTTTATTTATTTTTGGGACAGAGAGAGACAGAGCATGAACGGGGGAGGGGCAGAGAGAGAGGGAGACACAGAATCGGAAACAGGCTCCAGGCTCCGAGCCATCAGCCCAGAGCCTGACGCGGGGCTCGAACTCACGGACCGCGAGATCGTGACCCAGCTGAAGTCGGACGCTTAACCGACTGCACCACCCAGGCGCCCCTAGCCTACCATTTAGGAAAGAGAAATCTTGGACAAGTTGTAGCCTCTGAAATTCATTCAAAAAACCCTGTAAAATGGGAGTAATACATACCTTACGCATTGTTAAGCATGAATGAGATAGAATGACATAAACAGAAGAGCCTGGTAAACTGCAAAGTCATATATAATAAGGAGGACAGTTGCAGTAGCTTATTTCTATAGTACTGTTCAGCTTCCTATTTTAATACTGTATCAAAAGCATAATACCTAGTAATACAGAGTAAGTACTTGATAATATAGGTAGTTGGCTGCCTTATTCACCTTCATATTCCTTGTACCTCTGTAGCCTAGCACACAGTACATGTTTAGTAAACTAAGAATAAAACCTTCCAATTCTGACAAAAATCATATGGGCTTATTCATTATCCGAAGCTCTTCAGTACAGCTGAAACACTGCACTAGGCCTCAATTTCTCATCTTTAAAGTATGTTTTAGAAAGCATCTGGCTTGCTTTTATCACAGAATTATAAGACAAAAAAGGCACTGCATATGAAAATGTTTTTTAACAAGGACCAGGCACCTACTGACTCCAGGCAGAATTTGGCTGTGGCTGGTGGGAAGTTAACTAGGTATTCCAACAGACATTTAAAGAGGGTCTTCTAAGAAGAAAATAATTTTTATTATGTCTCCAACTGGTTATTTTCTTTTTAAAAACCTTTAAAGTTATTTTTTATTTCACAAGAGAGAGAGAGCATGAGCCGGGGAGGGGCAGAGAGAGGGAGTGAGAAAGAATCCCAAGGCTCTGAGCTGTCAGCCCAGAGCCCAACGTAGGGCTCAATCTCACACATTGTGAGATCATGACCTGAGCCGAAATCCAGAGATGGATGCTTAACTGACTGAGTCACCCAGGCGCCCCTCCAACTGGTTACTTTCTAAGTTCCTTAAAGAAATGGAGAGCATCTCCTCTATCTGTGAATCCTTCCAGTGCTTATTTGCAAAATGCAATCTATCAGAGCCTTCTGTAAATATCTTGTCAAACAAATGTTAGGGCAAAATACTGCCACATGAAACCATCAGCAAGCACTGCTGTTTACTTGTAAAACCTATTCTAACTACTTTACCTTATCCTCATTTATTACCATCTTAATGTAAGCCACCATTGTACTGCTGCCTACCTAAATAATTGCTATAAATTCTGAACTGGTTTCTTGGTTTTTATTCATCTCTCCCAAATTCAAAACAATCAGAATAATTTTTAAAAACCAAGCAACAAATCATAAACTAAAATATGTCACTTTATGTCAATATGTCACTATGTCAATCCCTCAATGACTTTCTCACTGTATTTAAAACGCACATTCTTGGGGCGCCTGGGTGTCTCAGTCAGTTGAGTGCCCTACTTCAGCTCAGGCTATGATCTCACAGTCCGTGGGTTCGAGTCCTGCGTTAGGCTCTGTGCTGACAGCTCAGAGCCTGGAACCTGCTTTGGATTCTGTGTCTCCCTCTCTCTCTGCCCCTAACCCACTCACATTCTGTCTCTTTCTCAAAAATAAACATTAAAAAAAAAAACCAAAAAAACAAAAAAAAACAACCCACATTCTTTAAACCCACAAGGCTCTTTATCAGGAACCAGCAAATTACACAGCCTATAGGCCAAATCTGACATGCTATATGTTTCTGTGAAAATAATTTTATTGGAGTACACCCAAGCATGGCCTATTGCTGTTTTTATATTGTAACACAGAGTTGAATTATTCTGACAGAAACCACATGCTTTGCAAAGCCTAAATATTTACTATCTGGCCCTTTACAGAAAACACATTTGCTGACTCTTCTCTTTATGATCCAATCCCCTATCTTCCTGGATATTTGCTACCCACTATCCCTGTCCTGGTCATTCACTGTATCAAGTCTATTCCACCTCAGAGGCTTTGCACCTGCTGTTCTAATTCCCTTGGAATGATCTCTATTCATATTGACACAGGACTGCCTCCTTAACATCTGAGGTCTCAGCTTAAATGTAAACTCAGAGACCTTTCCATACCAACCAATCTAGAATGGCACCTCAACCTCCTCAGTTACATATCTGCTATGAAATAATAACGTGGTAATGACTATTTGAAATTACGGACTAGTTTAGTTCTCACCCTGCTCTAGAATAGAAGCTCTATGACTGTATTTGCCTATCCCCATCCCCCATTTAACCAGCATAAACCCAACAACAAAAACAATGCCTGGTATTATTTTTAAATGGGAAAGAAGAGGGCCAATAAATAGTTGCTGAATGAATGAGGCCAAGGTCAAGAACTCCAGTCTGGCTCAACCCAGTCCACAATGTTTAGCTTTGCTGTTGCTGAATGGCCTTGATGATGGCCTGACTTTAATCATAAAAGGAGGGGCACCTGGGTGTCTTAGTTGGCGAAGCCTCTGACTCTCGATTTTGGCTCAGGTTGGTGGGTTTGAGCCCCGCATAAGGCTCTGAGCTGATGGCATTGAGACTGCTTGGGATTCTCTGTTTCCTCTCTCTGCCCCTACCCTGCTTGTGCTCTCTAAAAAATAAATAAATAAACATTTTTTAAAAAAGGGTGTAGAAGATCAATCCACATTCCTAGTCCATTATGTGCAAAACAACTCCACCAAGAGCACATTCTCCTGAACATGGGTCCATCTTGCCTCTTCAGGTAAGGGTAGCATTAGGAAAACCAGGTAAGGCAAGGTCACAGAATTGGACAAAGAAGTTCTCAACTTGATGATTATTATGGTTAAGAATTTTATTATCAAAATTATTACATCTCTTGTGAAAGTTCAAATGTTACAGCAAGGTGTAAACACTCCACTTGAGAAAGAAGTGATACTTCTTCCCTTCCAAGAGTTCCCCCCACCCCCCGCCCCCGCCCCCCCCCAGAGGTCTGGTCTTGACAGCACCCTGCCCACACAGAGTGGCTGGGGTCTCTGCACGTGCCAGGCAGGGTGAGGGCCGCCTGCCCGCTGGCCTCTCCCCTTGGTTAACAGCCAAGGGGAGAATGCAAACCCCAGCCCAAATGGAGAGACATTTACATACGTTTTATATAATATACAAAGAAACCAGCATCCCAGGCAACATGATTTCCACTCCCAACGCTCTCCCAGACTGATGGGTTTGTGGGGGAAACAACAAAAAGAAAAGTATTCTGCTGAGGTCTCAGCATTAAAAAAAAGAAATCTCCCCTCATTTGAGCAAACACCTGATTTCAATTTTGAAAAAGTGAAATTTTGTAACAGTCACACACAAAGAGAGAAGACTGTGCATATGATAGTTGTAAGAGAGGGTAAAAAAGAAGGGGATGCAAGAGGCTGGGGAAAAAAAGGAGGAGAAAACAAACTGGAAGGAAGGAGACTCACAGTATTATCTTGTCCAAAAGAAAAGAAGGTCCACTGCAGCACCAGGGATTACACCTGTCATATATTTGCTACCCCTACCATGGTTATAACTGAATACAAAATTAGATAAATAAAAACACGCCGGATATTACAGTAAACAAGTGAAAGAAATAAGCTGGCAACCGTATGGAATTTTAAAAAGATTGTGTACCCCACCTGGGCAGGCTCCAGGGCTCCTCCAGGGGTGTACAGCAGGCACAATGCACTGATGGGGAGAAGCCAGTCTGCTTGCGTCTCTCATCCAGAACAGTGTTAGGTGTGTGGGTGGCTTTATAACTCTCACCTGGGCCACTCTCAAATAAGCATCCCCCAAAGAATTGTGGGACATGCCCCACACAATCACAGTCCTGTCGGTGCCACTCCACAAACATCTCTTTCCACTCTTACCCTGCAGTCACAAGTGCGTGCTCCCTAATCATGGAGGCGGTCCTACTCGTGGGATCGTCAACTCCTGATTAACAGGGAGTAGAAAAAATAAAATTCAAAGAAGTCCCAAAACACTTGGGATCCTTACTAATCAAATTTATTGCCAACAGCTGATAAGTAGCAATGCAATTGGCCCATCTCACTTATTCCTCTTTTGTCTACTTACTTTCTGGGTTACTGAGCTGTGAGACAGCTTGGGGAGGGGAGTGGTATGGGAACAGCTGGGGGCTCAGACAATCACCTGCTCCTGAATCGAGTTGACCAGGAGCTCTTCTTCAGAGAGCCAGGCACCCCTCAGCCAGAGCACATTCCAAGCTTTGCTATCCCTGCCTATATTTCTTGGTGATTTTAAGACAAAGGTAGGGAGTATTCTTGGTGGACACATCTTGGCCAGATACCTGCTTTTGGAATGGTTGTCTGTCACAGGGTGAAAATTTACATACCTACCTTTCTTCTTAAGTGCATAAAAACCCTACTATTACTCAGATGGCTTGGGGCTTAGAGATTGGCTCTTTTCATTTTTTCCTCTGAAAAGAAAACTTTTTTGGGTGTGTGTGTGTGTGTGTGTGTGTGTAAAAAGATGTCCCCACTGCACAAGTGACTACAGGCTACAGGCAAGGACGGGAGACAGAGGCTTCAACACGACTCATTGCACTTAGAACCGTTACTAACCGAAACACCATTTGCTTGTCAACAATGTACCCTTAACAGCAGGGAGAAACTTCTTTATAGTCTCTGCTTCAGACAAGATTTACATCTTTCTCCAAGGCCAGAGCCAGTCGCGACCACAAGTCTCGTTTCTTGTCGACCAGACCCAGTCCTCTGGCACCTTGTACCCTCTTCCCCAGCAATATGCTCGGCCTAGGTTCCAGAGGCAGCTGGAAGGAAGCAGCTATGGGCTCATTCAGTTCTGTTTGCCCAAATCCAGAAGCCCTAGGAAAGTCCTGTCTGAGTCTTGACTCCTGAGCCTTGCAGTGGCTGGAGTCGGTACTGGTGCACACCCCCACTCCCACGGTGTGGGTAGTGCTGTGAATTGGAAACCGCAGATACCCTGGAGGCCTGGTAGGCAGCGGACTGCCCACTGGGCAGACTGATAGTCCGTAAGTCTGATGGCAATGACGACCTAGAGTTCTGAGGGAAGGAGGTGGAACTCAGAGTTCCTGTGCTGGACTGGGAGACCGAGTCTGAGGTCGGCGAGTCTGAGGGGCCCTGTGGGGTAGGGCTAGCAGCACTAGAAGGGCAGCTCCTCCTTGGAAGAGTGCTGCCAGTGCTGTTTCCAGAATGTGACTGGCTGCTATAATACCCTGGTGTCCCCGTAAATGGGGCCAACGAGTCTGTGGATACAGGGTGGGCGGGGCTGGAATAGGACGTAGAAGAGAGGGAGGATTCTGAAGAACCGTGAGAGGGGGGGTTTCCAGGTCTCAGTGCAGTAGTTCGATAACTGTATCCTGGAGATTGGGTGGGATGTCCTCTAAAGGGGGAGGAACTCTGCTGAAGGAGGCTTTGTGATTCTGTCCGTGGACTATCACACTGCAGGAGCTAGAAAGAGTCGGGAGGAAAAGCATAAGGAGGTGAAAAAGTCCCTAGTTAAGCCATTTAGGCTTGTGAATATTTAAAATACCCTACTTTTTCTTCTTCTTCTTCTTCTTCTACTTCTCCTTCTTCATCTTCTTCATCTTCTTAACCATTTGTTCTTTTTAGGATACCAAAGACAGTAAAATGGCTGTCTCTGATCACTTTATTTATTTTTCTGGCATGATTTATTACCTGAAGGTGAGCAGATGATGACTTATTTCCAAGGCTGCTGAAACTATATGCAAAGACGGCATCTCAACTGCAAAGGATGGCCAGGATCACAAAATATTTGGAACCCAGAACACACTCCTATGCCCAGAGATGAGCAATTTCTCGTCTCACCTGGTAGCTGTATCTGGAAGGGCTGTAAACGGCTGCTCCTTTAGAGAGTGCTGAGCTCAGTGTCTCTGGGCCTTCTCCATCTGCAGGGTCTGGAAGATAATACAAAATCAACTTGGGTTCCTAGAATAAGTGAGAAATAGTCATTGTTCATTCAAATCACCAATGTCATCACCAACCCATGCTGCTTTCTTTCTGACAAATCAGGTGAGTGCATCAGGCCAGAAGGGCAAAAGAAGTGGTTAATTATGGGCTATGTTTTAAATGTCTGATCGGATTCCTGTCTCCTTTCTCTTCATCCTTCATCACAGTGGATTTCCAGGCCTTTGGAGAGAAGAGTTACAGAAAGGTATCCCTTGGGAAAAAATACGGCAGAAACAGAGAGAGAGAGAGAGAGAGAGAGAGAGAGAGAGAGAGAGAAAGAAAGAGAGTCTAGAGAGAGTAAGAGTGCACATGCAGTGCTAGATCTTAATACTACTACAGCCCAGAAGAATAGAATCAAGACTGACCTGGCACCTTCCATACAGTGGAGCCCAACTGTGTAAGAAACAGACTCACCTCATCCCAGCATTTGGTGAGAACTGTGTAGAGCCTGTCTCACGTGTCCCTAAACTTGGCTGGCAGCAGAAGGCCATGGGCTCACCTGAGTCTTTTTCTGTGATGTTACTCTCCCATGTGGGAGAAGGCTCTCCTTTTTGGGCCACCCTCACACTGCTTCGGAGGACCTTGGGGATGCTCCCTCCTTCTCGGAGTCGTTCCACTGACGTGGGAACCATCCTGTGAAGGAAACCAGGTGCAAGTTAGTGCCACAGAACTTCAGAGTCAAGAGTATGGAACAAATGAAGCTCTCATAAAGGCTGTATAATGCCTCTTAGATATTATTTTCTTCAGGACCAATTTAAAACAAGGTATTTTTCTGTCTTATACTATGGGAAAAGTGGATTTAAAGATGTTTGCTTCTTTTAACCGCCATGTTGAAATGCTAAATTTTTTCTGTGAAGTCATGACCGGCACATAGTTTAATAAGTGCTCCATAGATTTTTAAACATTACTCATTTGAGCCAGATCTCTTCTTTCCCAGACTTCCATGCTTCAGTTCAAGATCCCTGAGAACAGCCTCATTCTCCATTCTAAGTACATGCTGTTTATTCTTCACTTACTTATAGTGTTACTTATCTATTTGTGGTCTCCCCTAAACCAGACTAGTCCTTTCAGAATAGGTCTGATCTTTATGTATATGCGGGCTGGGTGCAACTGAGACTTGTGTTGTTAATTTAAGTGGAACTGAGCTGAACTCCTGACTTACCTTTCATATGAAATGAAAAAATACAAGAGGCAGTGTTAGTGCCCAGCAAATAAAATAACTCATCTGTGTCCACAACTATATGCCGTCCAAAGTGTCGTTCTGCAGGTTCGGTGGCAATTCTTTTCTTCTGTAAAGCTGAGGGGGATGGGGCTGGGGGTGGGGATGGGGTTGTGGCTGATACTATTAAATCAGCTGAAACAGCACAGATGGCACTGCTGGCCACCTTTCTCAGATAAGTGTTCCCATATATTTTAGGTAAAACTGGGAATAACTGTGGATGTATACTTCCTTCTTGAATTTAATTATTTCATCATCAAACATAAACTTACCACCTACTGCTGATATTCTCTTGAGGTCTGCAGTGAGATGAAGTGCCTCTGGAATCTGATGGGCTTACCGCCTCCATATGGGACATAGAGGAATGAGATGGGGAGAATTTTTTGTGAGGGGAAGATGGGGTTCGGGATGAGGATCCCTGCACACCATGGGCACCAGTGTCAGAAAGTGAGTTACTGCTGCCTTGCCCAGCTCCTGCAGACTTATTTTTGCTCTGTGCAGAGTCACCTCCCCCACTGGCAGAATTCTCCTTGGCTTCTTGTTTCCGTTTGCGGTACTCCAACAGGGATACCTGGGAGGGAAAGAAGGAAGAGGACTCTAGCTAGACATCATTAGTGGATCAGCAGCAATGGGAAAAGAAGGTGGAACCCTCATAAACCACTAGCCAGCCTTGCAAACAAATCAGGCACTAACACTAGCAACCCTTTTTTCAGGTGTGAGGTATCTGAACACAACTACATACATATTTAAATCAGTCAGAAACTGGTAAGGAGAAGAAAATACACTAGGAGATGACATTTTTGAAGAACAGTGTTCGCCAGCAGACCTCAACCTTTCTTCTGCCTTCAGAGAACTGTGAGATCACGGTTACCTAGTAGCAGAAGTATGGGATCAGCTGTTTGCAACAATAACACCTAGAAAAGGGAAAAAGGAGTTGGGAGCTTGTGAAGTTTGAAAAAGCCTTCCAGGTCATCTGACAGCTCTTCCCTAATCCCTAGGAATTCCTAGATCAGTTGTTTAAAAAAAAAAAAAAAGAGAGAGAGAGAAGAGAAAAGAAAAACAACAGAAGAAAAAGCCAATGTTTCAGGGTTCTCAGATGTAGTCAAATTTTCAGGATACACGCAGGGATTTATTACTGTTTCTCTCTTACACATAGGGAAATTAGTATTAAAAGACAAAGAATGATTTGCAGTTTATATTTTAGCAAGCTAGTCTAGGAAACGTACACTTGGAAACTTCTCCCTAACTCTGCCTCATTCTCTTGATTGCCAATACAGAGCCTTCCTCCCTGGCCTGCCCACTATACCTCTCCTTTTTGCTGTTACATCACATTGCCTACACCAGGTGTCAACCTATTACAGTGTCCTGACAGTTCCTTCACTAAATTGTAAGTTCTAAGAGGGCAAAGACCAAACTTTTCTGGCTTTTTGTCTTTAACATCTGGCACAGAACCTGACTGATAGTAGGTGCTCAACATTTCACAAATAAATCATGGTTTCAATCAAGAAACCAGAAACACAAAGATATTGCAAACTTTTGTTCCTGATGGTCAATGCTCTTCAAGCAACAGTTTTCTAAAACCCACTGCTATTCTTTTCCCAAATTATCTGCCAGTATTTCTGCCTTCTAGTCCCTCAACGTTCTCATTTTCTGTTTAAATGTAAAATGTAACAAAAATGCAAAGTAGTACCATCTTGCGCATGGACTTTCTATACACAATCTTGGAAAGTAACTAATAATTATAAATTCTGGTAATGTATTTCATGGAAATGCAAATTTAAGAAGCCACTAGGCTACATTTCAACAAGACTACTAAAGATATTCTGCAACTGTGTGAGACTGTCACATACAGAACATTTAACATCTCTAGCGCTGCACAATAAATGGAAGTTGCCTTGACAACCCAAAATACTCCCATGCATTTCCAAATGCCTCTAGTTGAAATCCACTGACAAAAACCACATTTGGGGGGCTTTGTAATTTCTTGAACAGGCATTACTTATAAGTCTCAACCTGTTAGCCAGCAATCTATGGCCTGGCCCTGTTCCACAGTCTCTCATTCTCCACTCCTGACCCTGCCCACCTTTCACCAGATACTACAGCAGCATGTAATTGTTACAACCACATTGTATGCCTGCTGCCCACACAACGGAGTGTCCCACAGCTACGTATTCTGCTCTCTCTTCCATAACATCCTCACCCACATTTGTTGGCAGATTGCTTCCTACTTACTGAGATCAGCTAAATCAGCGTGTGACCTGTCACCTCTCACTCCACCTCTCAAAATGGCTAGGAGCCTCTTGTTTGTTCTCACTAGGCCATGTCGTGGCTAAGATGTTCTCATCACATATGAACAACTCTTTTGGAGCATCCACTGCCACTGTAGTGAATTACTTATTAACATAATTATCTGCCAACCTCAGTCTCACTTGCTTTAAGCTCCATTAGGGCAGAACTTAGAAGGCAATATAGCACAGTGGCAATAAGAGCATGCAATCTGGAATCAGACAGACCTGGGCAGTGTCCTGGCTCTTTCATTCACTACCTATGTGACCATGGGCAAGTCACTGAATTTGCCTTAGTTTCCTCATCTGCAAAATGGGAAATTACCCAACTTACAGGATTACTGTGAGGATTTAATGCATAAAAGAACTTAACAGTGCCTAAAACATGGTAAGTGCTAAATAATACAAGAAATTAGCATTATTCTTTTTCACTGCTTTTTTTTCTTTTTAAAATTTTTAATGTTTATTTATTTTTGAGAGAGAGACAGAGCACAAGCAGGGGAGGGGTAGAGAGAGAAACACAGAATCTGAAGCAGGCTCCAGGTTCTAAACTGTCAGCACAGAGCCCAATGAGGGGCTCGAACCCACGAACCGTGCGATCACGACCTGAGCTGAAGTCGGACACTTAACCAACTGAGGCACCCAGGCGCTCCTCACTGCTCTATCCTTTGATTGCACAGCATGTATAACAGCACATACATGGCAGGCATTTAAAATCTGCTGAATATTTGCAACAATCATCAAATCATATTGAAAGTCTTGTCTTACACACACACACACACACACACACACACACACACACACACACACAGATCCTGTCTTTCACTGAACACGGCAGAGATCACATCTTATGTCTCTGTTTTCCTCACACTGAGAATGGTGCTTAACAGTGTCAACTCAGTTAACATCTACTGAATCACTCAGTTAATGTTCTTCAAAAGGGCCTATATAAGGTAGAACACTTACCTTTTTCCTCTGCGGTGGGTTCTGGGGGGCAGATGGGACTCCTTCGCAAGCCCTTTCACCACCAGGTGACATGGATCCACGAGAGAGGTCTTTCATAAAGCCATGTTCGTATCTGCTGGGAAACCCTTCTGCAGGGGAACAATATCCCCCATCCAAATGTAAAGGCTTCCTATCCCCTACTAGGGGAGATCCTCGATATAATCCATCTGCTCGAGGCATAGCGTTCAATGGCGAGTAGGCGTACATTAAATTAAACTCTGTCCGAAATGCCTGGTCCGAGTTCCTCACAAGGGTCTGATGTCCATCTCCACTCCTGCTTGGAAAGCCAGTCTCAGAGGGGGGCCCGACAGAGGGATGAGGAGCCAGGTCAGAAGGACCTGAGTTGATCAGGGAAGGTCTGTCAGCACAGCTGTTAGTGTTGGAGTCAAGGTAGCCTACTTTTGTCAAGTCCACATCTTTTCGGTGACAAAGCTGAAAGAATAAAAATCAACAGAGACATGGAGGAGGAGGGGGAAGGAAAAAGTCAAAGGGAAGAAAAGAAGGGAAGCGAGAAGGGCACAGGTGAGAGGTAAGAGGGATGGAAGTACAAGGGAGAAAGCCATTAACATCTGTAAAAGTTCCAGGAATCAACAGTATACCCAGGCCAGATTACTACAGAATGCCGGCCTTTCACAAATTGCCTTAAAGTCTTTCTGGATGAGAATCCTGGGAAAATCAGAATTAAATAATTGGCCAAATGTGACTATTTTGCCTGTTTAGCCTTTCATCAGGTCTGCTGAGTCACCGTGTACTACATTAAGGTGCTGGAAGTATAATCACGGATTTACCTGAGCCCCATGTATGCTCCAGAGGTGAGACTGGGGTCTTAAAGGTAACTGGCTTTTGGTGTTATTCATTTGTATTTAATACTGATGGAAGGTGGGAGGAGGGAAAAAGGGAAAGAAAGTAGTAAGTAGACAGAAAGTCAAGGATTTTAAGTTACTGGTTCAGTAAAGGAGAATGGAACTAGTTAAAGACATCAACCAACCAGTTCTTTGCTCACTTTCACTATTAAGCATGTATGCTTCTCATAAAATGTTCTGGCTACTCAATTCTTTATCCTCTAATATATGTCCACATACCACAAGATCACTAATGCCCACCACTGCAGAGCATCCAAAATGCTGAATTTTATAAAAAATAAGCTGTATCTACTATTTGGTTATCATTACTTCCCAATACCAAGATTTCCCACCTCTAGGTCAACTCTTACTAATTCTCTCTAGAAAGAATGGTACCAGAAATTCAAATGTCACACCAGGATTTCCTCACAAAACAGTGTAAAAAACATCCAGAAAACCTCTAGTACACTAGAATACAACATTTTTCAGTTTCATATTGATCTATAAAATCCTGATTCAGAATTTTATCAACTATCACTAAATTTAGCACAATTTTTTAAGTGGGAAGGGGCCAGAGTTAACAGTTAATTTCTGAAAGGTTATGAGACACTACAGTTTTCTCTTCAAGAGGAAATTGACTCCATGTAGATTAACAGAGCTAATCATTCCTACAGTTGTCCAAATCTTAGAATAGTTAAAAATCTCCAGCACTAAAACCTAAATTTAACAACTCCATAGCAGTAGGGTTTCTGAGAAAAGCACTCAATTGGATATCCTGAGATACCACTTTTTATGGCAACCACATCTCAACTACTACAGAAGGAAGGCCATTGTCACAGAAGCCATGGGCTGACTTAGTTTCCTTGTATACCCAGTAAGGAGCTATAAAGAAAATGTAGAAAGCCGGGAGGCAGGACTCCCTTTCGAAAGAAGCTGCTCAATCTATCAACCCAAGCCCAAAACATCCAGTTAAACAGAGCTGTAAGATTAATCCTGGAATAAGACATAAATCACTGTCTAACTTTTCCAGTATAAATAGCTCCTTCAACAGCCCAAGATAATAAGTATCAAAAGATAGCTCCTACCAACTTTCGATTTCAACTTTCCTTATTTAACAAACACACCTTACTTGTTGCTTTCTTTGCCAAGGCTCATACCATATCTTCAGCTTGCTTTAAACTTGACTTCTAGAGTCTATACTTTAAAAGAACTCTTGAGTCACCCCTCCCCCAAACAAGAGCAAATCCCACCACACACACACACACACACACACACACACACACACACACACGCCCCTTCATTTTCCTCCATCTACATTGAAAGTTCTGAGTGATCACAGTCACACATGGAAGTTCATTCAACTTACATCAACTGGCTGGTCGCCCTTCAGCCTATTACCCCATTCACTAGGACCTCCCCCCCAGCCCTCCCACACACTCATGCACACTCACTCTCAGCCTCCAAGTGTGATTGAGATGGTGTGATAACTACCTCGGGTGACAGGGACTCGGGCCTATTCGCAGGGGAACTCTCAGGGGAGGATATGTTCTAGAGGAGGGAAAAGCATCTTGTTATTCATCTACTCGAAGTCAAGAAGCAAAACAAAACAAACCAAAAAATAAAGTAAAAGCAAGCATAGATGGTTAGCCACAACTTTTTGCGGGGGGCAGGGGGAGGGAAAAGAATGCACAGGGGAAAGGTTTAACTGTAGAATTCATTGCAATGAACAGAATGACTCATTAAAAATGCTTCCTGGGATCTTTGAAAGCATTTAAATTGGTTATAATATTTCATGCTAGAAGTAAACATCTTAAGCAGGTTAACAGAAAAAATTTAGATTGATGAAACTGTACCCTACAATTTCATTTGAAATTTCGTCCTACATTGGATTAGAGTTGAGCAACCTACAGTATTTATTACTGATGGGCACCCTACCACTTATTATGCCTCAAGGGAACCTTTTTCCTTTACCCCACACCCCTTTATGAAAAAGTCACATTTCTTCATTCTCCTTGTGGTTCGTGCTTGCCCACCACTGTCCAGGGAAACTGCTTAGCATGCTGGGCTGACAGGGCTAGGGAGATGGCCAGCTCCTCTTGAATGAGTTACAGGAGATAGAATGCAATTTAGCTGATAGGCTAGATGGTTCTTGGCATAATCTAATTTGATCTGAACACCCCTAACAATGTTCTCTGATGTTAAAATCCCTGGTACTTTTGGCCAACAGAGAGGGAATAAAAAGCAGAGGTGTACATTTCAAGTTCCTGCATCCTAAACAGGGTTCCCCTGAGAGCTTTCACCTGAGGCAGCACTCCCGTATCAAACAGGAACTGGACAGTGAACTCTGATGGCAGATCTGAACGGTAAAATGCAGACAGAATGATGGTGGTAGTTGTGACAAGGATTCAGAGTGCCAGGGGTAAGGGAAGGGAAGGGGAAGGTTCCTAATGCTGTAGACTCTGGACAACTATGTCCTGGGTAGCAGACCTATCCCACGGGAGGTGAAAAGAGGCTGTTGATTTTATTTGGTGGGCTGGGTACTATGGGTGAGGTGGACACTAGGCCAGGAAGGAAAAGGAGGGGCTGGTGGAAAGTGGGGGCTAATTAAGCCTGTCCTGCCAAAGTTGCTTTTACTGCTTTTCCTTAATGGTTCTCCCTCCCTCATGATCTTGTTCTCCTCTATTACACGTCTCCTCAACTCCTTCCCTTAGCACTGGAGACATTTCTCACTGGAATGATTTTTATTTTTCCTTTCAAAAATATTCTTCCCCAACCAAGCTGATCTTTACCTGTGACACCTTATTGGTATTTCCTCTGTGTCACAGTCTTGCATGGAAATAAGGCTTCCTATACTAGAATATAGGAAAGGGCATGGCAGTTAGAATGATGATAAGAATGGTCAGGATGGTAGTTTGTTTTATTGACAAGAAAGGCTGTATTTCGTTAGTTAAATCACAAGATTAAAACAGTGAAAACAGGCACTGGACTTTTTAAAAATAAATTTATTTTTTTATTTTGAGAGAGAGCGAGAGCGAGCGCACGCATGTGAGTGTAAGTGGGGCAGGGGCAGAAAAAGGGAGAGAGAGAAAACCAAGCAGGCTCTGTACTGTCAGCACAGAGCCTGATGTGGGGCTTGATCTCACTAACTGTGAGATCATGACCTGAGCTGAAGCCAAGAGTTGGACACTTAACCGACTGAGCCACCCAGGTGCCCCTCATAAAAATCTTTGATGTTTGATTTTTTTTATAAAATAAAAACACCTTACATTTCCATATTGTTTCAGTTATCCAAAACACAAGGGATCAGGGGAAATGTACTGAGAGCTAAATTTAACTGTCCTAGAAGGCAACATACCTTCTAATTTCTGTAATTTCACCTTTTAAATTGCACTGATAAAGTAAGAAATCCTAGCCTATAATTTGCTGCCCTCCAGGGTGAACAGCCTCCTATGAAATTTTACTATCAAACTCAATTTGTTAACTGAAAAATCAATCACAATTAGACCAAGTAAAGTTAGTAAGGCCTAAATCAGCTGCTTTAATGTATGGCAGAAAAGAATGCCACAGGAAATTTGGTAAAGAATAACTTCTCTAGAAACCAAATGTAACCAAGAAGGTTCTCCCTGCCTCTTCCCCTCCCCCCGACTCCTGCCAGAGGTCTGCTCCCAAGTGATACAGTCTACTTCAAGTATAGAAATAGGTTCCTCTTGCTTTCAAGGTTGCTAGCTATCTCTTTCTGAGTTAGCTATTCAGAAGTCCAGGTATTTTTAATCTCCATGCTCTCATAAAGGCTGAATAGGGAAGAAGGGATTGGTTAGAGCATTCACCTTCATCAAAGAACACATTCATCAAAGAACACATCTGGAGAAGTTACAAGCTAGGGGCAGAGCTGAGTGTTTAGTGATGACAACAGTGTTTTCTAAGAAAAAGGAAGAGACAGTGTCTGTTTAGTTAATTTCAAAGGAAAGCAACATGCAATAGATGAAGTTTTTTAATACACAAGGATTCTTTCTACTCAGTAGACCTGCTGTCACCCACACTTGAACATGAATGTGATTGACAATTAACTTTTTCAAACAGCTAAGATACATATTTCTAACTTAAACCAGAGGGTGAATGTAACAAATCTGTCTCATTATGAATGTATGTTGTTAGCCTCCTTCTACTTTTCATTCCTAACACACTGTAACAAGAAGGGAAAGTAACCTAGAGTAGGAAAAAAACTCATTTGCCACAAACCATATCTCAAAAGCTTTTCAAATCTCTGTTCACTGAGGCCACAAGAATACAAAACAATAGGGAAAAACAACTCACTGATTTAAAGGCCTAGAAAGAAAGACACAATCAATCAGTATAATCTGGGCTCTCAGGCTGGTATCCTTAGTGGTTATTATGCAGCTAGAGACCTATTTTAAAACCAAAGTACAGACCAAAGACAAAGATGGAGATGTAGCATGCTTACTACCTGCAGTTACGGAGAATGATGGATTGATTGCATGCAAAAACAGATGAATGTCATCCATGGTAGAACTATTCCTTTTGAGCGAAGTATGAGGACTGCCAAGATGAGAGGCTACCAGGTAACAGGTCACATTGACCCTGAGGGTTCCTGTTCTCTTGCCAAGACTGGCAGGAACACAATCAAGACACATTTGGAATATTATACTTGAAATGAGGAGGGGCAAATGGTAATTTTCATATTCGGCACTCCCAACAACCAAACCCAAATCACCTCAAACTGCAGAGGAGTATTGCAGCGACTAGCAGTAGTAAGAGACGTGATTGGTGAGAACATGAGGCTGTATCCATTTCGACACTCCTCTTCTGGGTGAGATGGGCCAGGTGTGGTCAGCTGGGGGCTCTTTGAGCCTGAATTGGGAGGGGGTGGTGTGACTGGAGAAAGAGGCCGCAGTAACTTGGTGACATTCTGCTCCATCAGATAGCGAGACTTCCATTTCTTTAATGGGCTCAACAAGTCTGTGAAATACAAAGCTTGGATGAGAGATTGCAACCACAGCTTAAAGGGAGGCTCTGTAGTAAAGCCATTAATCTCTAGCCCACAATGGCTCTTAACTCCTCTTCTGCCTCATCCCACTGTCACCTCCTGCAATCAAACCAAAAGCCCAAAGAACTCTTTAATTGCCACAATTAAAGTAATTCTCAAAATTCTCTATCTCCCAATCACCAGATGAATCTAATGACTGGGCCCTAGAACAAATTTAATCTCTTACAGTGGAAAATATAAACTTTAATATTTTACTTTGAGTTTCCAGAAATCTCAAATTGATGTCACTTTGTTAAAATCACCCTCTACTTAATTGCCATGTCACCAGCACAAGCTTCTAGAATGTTAATTCCATGCTCCTTTTATCTTCTCTTGTGTATTTTTGCCATTTTCAGCAACTTTTTTTTTTTTTAATTTTTTGTTTTGTTTTATTTATTTTTGACACACAGAGAGAGACAGAGCATGAGCGGGAGAGGGACAGAGAGGGAGACACAGAATCTGAAGCAGGCTCCAGGCTCTGAGCTGCCAGCACAGAGCCCGACGCGGGGCTCGAACTCACAGACTGCGAGATCATGACCTGAGCCGAAGTCAGACACTCAACTGACTGAGCCACCCAGGCGCCCTTCAGCAACTCTTTCTACAATGTTCTGCTTTAGCAGGAAAAGGTAGTCACCTATGATTGCTTGGCCTGTATCTAGCCCCTAGTTTTAGAGTGCTTCAAAATAGGAAATTATTTTCACAAAAGCTTCTCCCAATCATTTTCAAATACAAGGCTGATCCATTTTCTGACTGGAACATCCTACACTTCCTATACTTCTTGGATCTACTACACTATATATTTTAATGACCACAAGGGTCAAAGCACCTATCTCACCTTCTCAAATATCTACTTTTTAAATTTACAATAAAAAAATATCTATTTACTTAATACCTACTATATGGAAACCACTGAATTAGGTATGTGAGGGGAGGTCATCATATATTCCATTTAAAAGGATTTACAAATTTGTGAGGATGGGAAAACACATAAAACACGTTTAATAACATTGTAAGAATCGTGACAGGGGCGCCTGGGTGGCGCAGTCGGTTAAGTGTCCGACTTCAGCCAGGTCACGATCTCGCGGTCCGTGAGTTCGAGCCCCGCGTCAGGCTCTGGGCTGATGGCTCGGAGCCTGGAGCCTGTTTCCGATTCTGTGTCTCCCTCTCTCTCTGCCCCTTCCCCGTTCATGCTCTGTCTCTCTCTGTCCCAAAAATAAATAAACGTTGAAAAAAAAAATTAAAAAAAAAAAAAAAAAAAAAAGAATCGTGACAGATGTAATCATACTGCTTTGTAAAAAATAATTATGCTTTTAAGTGCTTATTACATGTTAAATATTAAATACCAGCTACTATACTATGTGCTTTATGTGAATTCTAACATTTAATTTGGACAACTCTAAATCCAGCACTATTATCATCACTCTCATTTTAAAGATGAGGAATCTGATGTGTAGAGAGATAAAGACTAGGTAATTTAGTTCCATTTACATTCTTAATGACTAGGTTAAATTATATCCCCAGGGCTTAGTGGAAAGAGTAGCATTTATCCCAGACCTTCAAGGACAAGTTTTGGGACAGTAGGTCATGATCAGAGCTATGCTTCGGGAAGATTACTCTGGCAGCAATGGTTAGGATGAGACTGGACACTGGGAAACTATTTGGAGTTAATGGAGAAGTTGACAGGGTTATGAGATACTGAACTAGGGTAACAGATGTGGAAATGGAGAAGGAAGAATAAATGCAAAATATACTGGAGATGCTTTTTCTCCTGATATGTGAAATTTTTTTATTTTCCTAGATTGGAAGTATATTCGTATTTTTCTTGTGTTCCAGAAACTGTAAGTTTTCTTTCTTATTTTTCTCCTCTGAAAAGTGCCTAGGTATAAAAAACAAACAAACATGTGATTCATGACATGTTTAGAACACTTTTTAATGTACTTTAAGAGTCAAACAGTGAATTTTTTTAAAGATTGCTATAAAAAGACTGCTATACTGCTAAGTCCAATATTAACTACTAAAGGGAATTACGTAAGTAATGAAGCTCACTCTAGAAGAGTTAGAAAGTACAGCTGAACCCTTCCCTTTCCCTTCCAAATCAACTTACAGGCCCTTCATATAAAACTGAGTTCTTATAATGGTATCGTATTCAAAATAGACCTGTTATCTGCCAGCAGTCGTTTGTCTTTTTTCTACCAATAATACTATATTTACAATTTTTTTCAAGTTTCACTGTTTTTTCTATACATACATAGCTTTTAAATTTTATGTGGTTAAATCTATCCACCTTGTATAGTTTTTATCTTTACTCAAATACTTTGCAAAATTATATAAAAAAACAACCACATATTTAAACACACACAAATTGAAATCATACCCACAAATGAATGCACTAATATCCTGGTGCATGTTCAGCTAGACCTTTTTCTTGGCATGGCCTTATTAACTCTTGTCTACATATCAGTGCTCACTCAGAAACACATGGTAAAACTCTTTCCATGACAACGGAAATCTACAATTTAGTTTTTAGTGGCTGTATGGCATTCATATCATCAAAATTAACCAACGTGAAGTATGTGCACTTTTTTGCTAATATAAATATGCCTCAGTGACCAGTAATCTTTCTCTTAGATATTTCTGCACCTGTCTAGTATTTAGGGTGAATGGCTAGATGCAGGATTGTTAAACCAAAAGCATCTTTCCATAGGCTCAACAGCTTTATATTTATTCCGGTGTGAATTGTCTACTCATGTCCTGTATCCTGTTTTCTACTGGGTGTTGATCTTGTTCTTCATTAATGTATTTTTTAAATTTATTATTTTTTTATTTGGAAGAGAGAGAGGAGTGTGGGGGGAAACAAGGATTTGAAGTGGGCTCAGAGCTGACAGCAGTGAGCCTGATGCGGGGCTCGAACTTAAGAACTATGAGAGCATGACCTTACCCAGTCAGGTGCTCAACAGACTAAGCCACTGAAGACGCCCCTTGTTCATTTCTAAGGACCTCATAAAAAAGAATGTTGATCCTTTGTCAAAAATGTTGTATTTTCCCAGTTTGCTATCTGCCTTTTAATTTTACTAAGTTTTTTTTTGGTTATACAATGTGCTACATTTTAATTCAGTCAAATGTATAAATAATTTCCTTTATTTTCTGCCTCTGACATCATGAATGTTTCTTCTGCCCACTACCTCAAGACTATAAAGAATACTGGCCTATTTTCCCTTTATCTCCTTACTTAATTTTTATTTATTTTTTATTTTTTTCCTTACTTAATTTTTAAATTTAACTCAAATAAAACGTACTTCAGAAGGTAGTGATTATCCTTTTCACATGTCAAAACAGCACATTCTTCCAAAATCTTTAATAATTATAGAATTATAATTTCTCCACTGATTTGAAATATGACATCTTATTAGATTTTTATATAAACTGGGTTTAGTTCTTTTTTTTAAAAAAACATTTTTTTAAACTTTTTTTTTTTAATGTTTTTATTTATTTTTGAGAGAGAGAGACAGAGCATGAGCAGGGAAGGGGCAGAGAGGGAGACACAGAATCCGAGGCAGGCTCCAGGCTCCGAGCTGTCAGCACAGAGCCTGACGCAGGGTTCAAACTCAGAGACTGTGAGATCACGACCCGAGCTGAAGTCAGTCGCCTAACCGACTGAGCCACCCAGGTGCCCCCCACAAAAAACTTTTTTTAATGCTTATTTATTTTTGAGAGAGAGAGACAGTGTGAATGGAGTGGGGCAGAGAGAGAGAGAGAGAGAGAGAGAGAGAGAGAG